TTTAATAAATTTTATTATTGAAAAAGTAATGTAGATAATGTAAAAATTATTGTGCTTGTCATTAATCTTAAAAAAAAAATATTAGATTATTTTTCTTCTTTTTTTTTTTAAAAAAAAAAAAAAAAAAAAAAAAAAAAAGAAAAAGCAAAGTTATTTTTATATTGTCTAGATGACTAATACAAAACGAACTCTTTATGTTGGTGGTTTAGCTGAAGAAGTTGATGAAAAAATTTTACATGCTGCTTTTATTCCATTTGGTAAGATAAACAAAAATTAAATTCTTATTAATAAATATATTTATTGTTTTGTTTTGTTCTAAGGTGATATATTTGAAATTCAATTACCAATTGATTATGAAACTCAAAAACATCGTGGTTTTGCATTTGTTGAATATGAAACAGCTGAAGATGCGGCATCAGCTATTGATAATATGAATGATTCAGAATTATTTGGTAGATCAATACGTGTTAATTTAGCTAAACCAGTACATTTAAAAGAAACAAGTTCAAAAGCAGTTTGGTCAGAAGATCAATGGTTATCAAATGCAATGAATTCAGTTGATAATGATATATCATCAACAGATAATAATAATAATAATAATAATAATACAAAAGAAGTTAAAAGTCAAATAAAAGATGATGATATTGATGAAATTGATCTTGATACAGGTCGACCATTATCAAAAAGAATAAAAGCAGTAACTAATCCACGTGTTTATATTGATATTGAAATAAATGGTAGTCGAACTGGAAGATTAATAATAACATTATTTTCTGATATTGTACCATTAACAGCTGAAAATTTTCGTTGTTTATGTACACATGAAAAAGGTTTTGGTTATAGACATACTTCTTTTCATAGAATAATTAAAGAATTTATGGCACAAGGTGGAGATATGACGAAAGGTAATGGTACTGGAGGAAAATCTATTTATGGAAGAACATTTAAAGTAATATTAAAGATAAATTTATTTTTTCTCTTTTTTATTTTTAATAAATAATTATTTTATTTAAGGATGAAAATTTTAATATTAAACATACACATGCTGGACAATTATCAATGGCTAATTCAGGTCCTAATAGTAATGGTTCACAATTTTTTATAACTTTTCTTAAATGTGATTGGTTAGATAATAAACATGTAAGTTTTTATTTCATATTATTATATTCATATGAT